GAAGAAAGGAAGGAGGGAAAAAGGAAAGAAAGATAGAAGGAAAGAAGGAAGAAGGGAGGGAGGGAGGAAAGAAGGGAAGGAAGGAAAGAAGGAAGAGAAGAAGGAAGAAAGGAGAAAAGGAAAAAAAGGGAAGGAAAGGAAGGAGGGAGGGAGGAAGGAAAAGGCCTTTATTAAGTGTTCCTTTAAGTGCTGGGTGTACAGAGAAACTTGACTAATGGGAGGGACAGCATGTATAGGGTGGTGGCGGTGACAGGCTATCTTGATTTGGAAAGGTATAGGCATGTTAGGGGAGGAGGGGAGTGGGCTACGCCTTTGGTTGCCTTCAAGGCAGAGCTGATTTGATGGGGATGCAGCTGGGAGGTGGGGGGGGGGGTGGGGGGGGGGGGGCTTGGCGGGTGGGGGGGTGGCGGGGGGGGGGGGCCTCCAGTGGGTGGCAAACATGGGCCTGCCTTGTGGTCTGCAGCACTCCTGAGTGTTGCTTAACCAGATTGAAGTGTAATTGGGGAATATTTAACAAAATAAAAATACAATAGGATACAGGTTCATGCGTGGTTTTCTAGGTGAATCTGTGCCCTCAGGGGTCCTTGTGGATGGCTGGGCAGCCCTTGTTTCTATCACAGTTTGACACCCCTTGCCTTCATGATGTTTTGAGCTTCCTGTTTGTTTTCTGTGGATCTTTCCTTGGGCTCTGAGTTCCCTCTACTTTGAGTATAAACTCAGGTTATCTTCCTTCTCCTCCCTTTCCAGTATATGCCATCCGTGAGGCAGCCACCAGCAACCTCAAGAAGTTGGTGGAGAAGTTTGGGAAAGACTGGGCCCATGTCACCATCATCCCCAAGGTCCTGGCCATGTCTGGGGACCCCAACTATCTGCATCGGATGACCACGCTCTTCTGTATCAATGTGAGAACCCTTAGCCTCACACTGGAAAGGAGAAAGGACAGGCTCCTTGGGGGAGAAGTGATGGAGGGAGCTGGGGGGCATGGGGCCTGGCTCACTGGGAGCCAGGGGAAAGCCTCCTTGGAGGGTTGTGGGTATATGGATGGTCAGTGGGTGGGGCCTGCCAGGTGGTCAGGCACGGAAGAGACAAGGGCCTCCTCTTTCCCCAGGTGTTATCTGAGGTCTGTGGGCAGGACATCACCACCAAACACATGCTTCCCACAGTCTTGCGCATGGCGGGTGACCCCGTGGCCAACGTCCGCTTCAACGTGGCCAAGTCCCTGCAGAAGATTGGGCCCATCCTGGACAACAGGTGAGGAGGGAGGGGGACCTTCTCCCTCTTTGCCGTTGACCAGAATCGGACTCCCCTGATACCAGCCATGGATACTGATGACCAGTCTGCCTCCCCAGCTTCTTACGGTCCCCTCGTGGGATTTGCAGACTGCTGACGTCTCTGTGTCCTCTTCCCCTCAGCCTCTGAGATTGTGGATCTCTGAATGTGTCCCCCTGGCCCTTGAGGCTGCTGACCCGTTCGTGTTCCCCTAATGCCAACATCTCTGGCTGCTTTGTAGGTCCCCTTCAGCCCTCTGAGACTGTGACCCCATGACCTCTGTGTGTGCCCTTACCCCTCCAGTCACAGAGACCTCTGACCCTTATGTGTGTTCTCCATGCCCCCCCAAAGACTGTCTTTCAGTGTCCCTCCCAGCCCTCTCCTGTCCTTCCCCCTGAGTCTGCTGAGGCACGTGTGTACCCTGTCCTCATCCCTTTTCTTCTGTCCTGCCAGCACGCTCCAGAGCGAGGTGAAGCCTATCTTGGAGAAGCTGACCCAGGATCAAGATGTAGACGTCAAGTACTTCGCTCAGGAGGCACTCAGTGGTACGGCCCTGGGGGAGGGGCTGCGGGGATGTTGGGGGCGGGCGCTGGGGCGGCGGAGGCTCACTCCGGTTCGCTAAAGCGTCACTCTCCTTCTCTCTCTTGTCCTGCCCAGTTCTGTCTTTGGCCTGATGATGGAAGAGGAAAGAGCTGGTGTTTCTGCACCCCCTCCCTGGATGAGGAGGGGGCCACCGTTGGCTCTGACTCCCAGTGCATGGTCTGACCCCTGGCTCCCCTCCCTCTCTCCGGCACGGCTCCCCTCCTTCCTCCCTGCTCTCCCAGGGGCGGAGGGCTGCATCAGACTAGGGGCCCTGGGGGGATGGACAGAGCGGCCTGCAGAAGGAGTGGCATGGCCACCCTGCCTGCCTGCAGGGTGGGAGCGCGGGGCAGGATGGGGGTCACCCAGGTCCCTGGCCCCTGCTCCTGCAATGGGGACCCCTTACCCGGCCCCTTTCCCCCTGCTCTCCTCTCAGCCCCCAACGTGGGTGGTTTATTGTGTCAACTGTGTGGTTTTAATTTTGTTCCTTTTTTCTTTTCACGGAGAAATAAATGGATGGAAATACCTGGGTTTGTGTCTCTGGCCTTGGGGATGGGGGTGGGTGGTAAAGGACCTTCCCTGCACCTTGCCTTTCATTGTCCCGTTTATCCAGAGGCTGTTAAAGGCCATCTGAGCCCTGGCCCCGTACTTTACGGAGAAGGGAACTGGTTGGGGGCCACCTTCCCTTCTCTCGTGGCTCCAGCCCCTCTGGGGCACAGTGCAGCTGAGGCACAGTCTGGTGCAGTTAAGGGCCTCGAGAGGGCGAGCTGAGAGAGCATCCCCCAGAGTAGCGGGTGATGAATGAACAGATTCGGCCAGTCCCAGGGCTTGGGGGTCTGCCCTGTTTGGGCAGTGCAGCAGGTCAGAGCTGGAAGGAGCCTCAGGGGCCGTGGTCAGCACCCTGGTCTGAGAGCAGGGCCTTGCGAACTCAGAGCCAGGGCCCGTGTTCCGACGCCCGGCCACTGCTTCTGTGTGTGTTGTGGTTACTGGGGTCTTGGGTGAGAGCCAGAGGGGCGGTGCAGTGCAGTGCCTCAGCAGAGGATGTGAGCCAGAAGGCATAGCTCGGCAAACAGGCAGGGTCCTCCCAGCACCGGCCCCTCCACGCCTGGAAGGGCCCAGGCAGAAATGAACCCATCATGCCAGGCCAGCAGTGATGGGCTGGAGAACCGCCATGAGCGCAGGAGCCAGAGGGCTGGGGCCGGAAGGGCCTGTGAACGCTCTTCAGGAGGTGGTGGTTCAGTTGTTCTGTTGTGTCTGACTCCCTGTGACCCCATTTGGGGTTTTTTTGGCAAAGCTCCTGGAGTGGTTTGTGATACCCTTTTCCAGCTCATTTTACAGATGAGGAAACTGAGGCAGACAGGGTTAAGTGACTTGCCCAGGGTCACCCAGCTGGGAAGTGTCAGAGGCCAGATTTGAACTTGGGTCTTTCTGACTCCAGGCCTGGTGCTCTAGCTCATCCCACTCATTAGGTACTGAGCGCTTTACAGTCTCTTAGAAGGTGCTTTTCATGTGTGAGTTGTATGAAGTCACCCCTTAGAGGAAGGGTCCTTCAGGACAATCCCAGGCATCCCCTCATTTTATCTGAGACAGGCTCAAAGGCGTCTCACTTCTAGAAACGAGCTACGTGTGTGCCGGGGGAGGGCCAGGCCCAGGACTCTTTTGCTTTAGAGGAGATGGCGGCTCCCCATGACCGCCCCGTCCCCTCCAGGCCCAGCACGAGGCGTGGCAGGATTCCACTCTGCCCTTGAGGGATGGGCCTGGGGAGCAGAGACCTGGCCCTGCAAGCCAGCCCTTCCCCTTGTGCACCTGACGTTCCTCATCCAAAGATCTCAGGTGGCCTGGGGCTAGAGCTGGCTTTGGAGCCAGAGGGCTTGGGTTCAGATCCTGGCAGTTTGTGTGTAGGACACCTGGCACAGGTCACTTCCCCTTGCTCAGCCTCAGTTTCCCTATCTGTAAGCTGAGAGGGTTGGATTAGGTCCTTTCTAGGTGGAGATCTACAGCTTGGCGCTCGTTGCTCAGTCATTTCAGGCACGTCCGACTCTTCGTGACCCCACTTGGGGTTTTGTTGGCAAAGATCCTGGCGTGGTTGGCCATTTCCTGCTGCAGCTCGTTTGACAGATGAGGAAAAGGAGGCAAACAGGGTGAAGTGACTTGCTCAGGGTCAGCCAGCTGGGAAGTGTTTGAGGCCAGATTTGAACTCGGGACTTTCTGACTCCAGCCTGGCGCTCTGTGCACGATGGCGCAACCCAAGCTACTCTACAACTCGGCATGTCTGACTCAAAACCAGAATCCCTGTTTCCCCCAAACCCTCCCCCCCCTTATCCAGGCTCCCAGCTGAGGCGTCATCCTTGACCCCAGGCCCAATCTGTTGTTGAATCCCGTTGTTCCTTCTCTCTGTTGGCATCATCGTGTCATGCCCGTGGTGGCACTGCCTGCCTCGAGGCTCTCCTCCCCAGTCCGTCCTTTGCTCCGCTCTCCTACTCCAGGACCTCCAGTGGCTCCCTGTCACCTCCCGGGTTCAGCTGGCAAATGCTCTGGATGGCCTTCAAGCTCTTCCTGCCCTTCCCATCTCTCCCACCCCCCCCACACGGTCTTCTGGTTGTCCCCTTGCCTCTGCCTTTGGCTTCCCTGGCGTCCTGCAGGCCTTCCCAGCCCCTCTTCATCCTCTGGAAATATCCACTGTTTAACCTGAATTTTTCCAGTGGGAACCTTTGTTTGCATGATTGCCTTGAGAGTAGGGACTGTCTTTTGCCTTGGTATCCCCAGTGCGTAGGGCAGCGCCTGGCACATAGTAGGTGCTTCATAAGTGCTTGTAGACTACTTTCCAGCCAAATTGGCCTGTACACAACCTTCCATCTCCTGCCCGAGTTTCCCTTGGCACGTGCTCTCCCCTTCACCTCAGCCTCACCCGTACAGACCATCACCAAAACACCTACAATAATGTAGCCTCGTGTAGCAGATCAGTATATAAACACACGTTTTTATTTTATTGAAACGTTTTTACCTTATTGCCATTTCTGAAAATATCTTTGGCGCCCACCCCGAAAGCCAAAATGGAACGCTCTCCAGTAACACCAGTAGAGTGACCTTGTCTTACGGTGTGTCTGACATCCTGCCCTGGTAGTCCTCCGCCTCTTGTGGTTGATACGCTTTCACATCCGTGTAACTTTTCCTGGGCCCTCAGGATGTAAAGGGAGCGGAGGCAAAGACCTATAAAAGAGGAGCGGTTGGCCAATACTGCGAGCAGGCTGGCTCCTCCCACCCTCATGGACCGAGAGGAGCCAGGCTCTCACGCGGGTACCCGAAGGCACAGCCCTTGGGGCCCGGCTCTCCTGGAGTTCAGAGGCCTCGTTCCCAGCAGCGCCGCCGGGCTTGGATTCCGCCTCCGGGGCCTGCTCCAGAGCAGCTGTCATGGAGCTGAGGAGATGCTGACGAAAGTTCATCCCAATGAAGGAGCAGAGGAGTGGGTTGAGGCTGCTATTGGCGCTGGCCAGGGTGAAGGCCGGCATCGCCAGGTAACGAAGCAGGCTGTGGCCTTGGTCGTTCTTCAGATTGCTGACCAGCTCCGAGATGGTCCCCAGGTGCAGAGGGCAGCAGCAGCAGAAGAAGGCTATGACCACCGCTATCAGAGCCTGTAAGGGCCGGTTTGATCTTGTTGACTGCCTTCCAGCCTTGAGGTTGGCGGCGCTGAAGCCAGAGCAACCGCTGATGACAAGTAGAGGCCCTGCAAAGCTGGCCGCAAAATCGATGGCCGCCTGAGTCTTGTACCATCTCACTGCTGGCTCCATTCGTCCCCGCCATGGATTGTAGCTGTTGTAACAACACGTGAGCCCAGTTAAGGGTCCGTGTGTGTCTCGGTATACTAGGTAGGGATTGGAGAAGCCCAGTGCCAGGCCCTAGGCCCCAGTGGCCGTCAGGGCCACCTGGCATTGTGTGCGGTGGTTCCGGGCCCACAAAGGCTGGAGGATGCGATCTAAGAAGACACTGGCAAACATAGTAAGCCTACCCTGGGTGTGGTAGAGCTTACAGACCCCTCGGCCCCAGGCTAAAGCAGCTACATTAATTGGTAGGAAGGCAGCGTAGGTGAAGTTGGCCACGGCCAGGTTGAGGAGCCAGATTCTGGTGATGTTTTGGGGCATTCACCCAAATCACCAACCCATTACTGACCACACCCAGGATGGAGGTTGCTGAGAGGAGGACCAAGAACAGGATGGGGAGGGCAAATTTGGCCTCTGACGAATTGGCTGGAGGAGGGGACGTCGCCTCCATGTTATCGGTTCGCTTGTCAGTCAGCCGACCTGCGTTGGTCGCTAGTAGCAGCGATGCACGTTTCTATAAGGAAGAACCCAAAGAGGGTTAAGAAAATCTAGAAACAAGTACTGGCAAGGTCATGTGATGTAGGACCCAAGAGAAGAAGTGAGAATCACAATTGTGGTTTCAATCGAAGTCTTGCCTTTTGAAGATTTCCGTCCACTACCAGGAACAAATCCAATGCCTGTTTGTGACTGCCCTTCAGATATTTGAAGACCAGGCCTCATGAGCCCCCCTAACCAAAACATTTCTCCCCAAATCAAGTCTACAACAAAAGGGTCAAAACAAGCCTTTGCATCTTCGTTTATGCTCTTATGTTAAGGGAGTCTACCTGAAACATTGAGTACATGTATATGGTCCGGAATTAGTATATAAATTTATATTGTATTTTTGCAGAAAAAATTAAGTAGAAACTAAAATGAGGGTTCTTGTTTTTTTCTCCTGGATTCATATCCACACGATCGTACCAGGTACTTGTTTCTGGACTTCCTTAACTTTGAGGGGGTTTTCTGTTCTCATGTAAGTTACTGACCATAGAGAGAGCAGCCTCCTAGGGGTGGAACGGAGCCCTGGCAAGGGCCTGGGACTGGACACAAGTGACACAAATTGGAGCCCTAACTCTTCTGCTGATTGGCTCTGTGACCTTAGGCAAGACACCCCTCATCTTTGAGCCTCAGTTTCTCCATCTGTAAAATGAGAGGGTTGGACGTGGTGATCCCAGAGGGGTGCCTTCTAGTTCTGTGACCAAAGCCTGTGGGGCATAATCGGATCTCTCCTGATTCCTGCTCTTTTCCGAGACCCCAGCTGCCATGTTCTTCCTTCCTCCTGTATCCCCGTATTCTTCAGCCTCTCCCTTTGCATCTGTGCTCTATGCTTGGTGCCTGGAGCATCCTGCCTCCCTCTCCCCAGGGTCCCCAGGACCCATGCTCTCACCCTGAAATGATATATCCAGATTGCTGAAGTCTCCTGAAGAGTTTCTTTCTGCTGGCTTGAAGATTTGTGAACACAGGCAGGCAGGCTAAGCTCTGATAAAGGAGCAGAAAGAGGAACTCAGGGCTCATCTTATCCTTGGTATTGGGTCGTGCTATTTCCTGTGAAGATGCATATCTTCCCTTCCTTAGATGCATAGAGCAGAATTTATGTGGCAGCTCGGTCTGTGGGAGAGAGCCTTGAAGTGAGAGGAGACTCAGTCTGTCTCCACCCCTAACTGGCTGTATGTTTTTGGAGAACTTGCTTCCTCATTCTAGACCGGTTTATCAGTAAAATGGGGAAAAAATTATCTTCCCTATCTACTACCTCGAAGGGCTGTAATGAGTACTAAATAAGATAACATACACAATAAAGGGGCAGCTAGGTGGCCCAGTGGGTAGAGCACTAGGCCCTGAATCAGGAAGACCTCATTTCAAATCCAGCCTCAGACAGTTACTAGCTGTGTGCTCTTGGGCAAGTCACTTAACCCTCAGTTTGCCTCAGTTTCCTCATCTGTGAAATGAGCTAGAGAAGGAAATGGCAAACCGCTCTAACTTTGCCAAGAAAACCCAGATGGGGTCATGAAGAGTCAGACGTGACTGAAATGACTGAACAACAGTAATAACATCATAAACTGAACTATCGAGAGCTATGTAAATGTCAAGCCAGCAAGTATTAAGCGCTTACTGTGTACCAGGCACTGGGGATACAAAGAAAACAAAAAATCGTCCTTGTTCCGAAGGGCTTCACGGTAATGTGGGAGACAGCGTGCAAACGGCTACGTACAAACAAGATGTTGACAGGCTAAGTTGGAGAATCTTGAAGGGAAGGCATGAAGATTAGAGGGGATGGGAAAGGCTCCTTGTAGAAGGTGGGACTTCAGGTAGACTGGAGGGAAGCAGGAAAGCTAGGATGTGGAGGTGGAGAAAGGCTCCAGGCCACGAGGTGGAGGGGAGAGAGGAATCCAGGTGTGGGGGACAGCGGGTGAAATGCTTGGAGTCAGGAGATAGTCTTGTTACGGAACAGCCCCAAGGTCAAGATCAGTGTCATTGTGTCACCGAGTGCTTGCAGGAGAGTAGAGTGTAAGGAGATTGGAAAGGTTATGAAGGGCACTGAAAGTCAGAGGATTTTATATTTTATCCTGGAGATAATAGGGAGCCCCTGGAGTTTATTGAGTAGAGGGGTGATAAAGTCAGACCTAGGCGGCAAGGTGGCACAGTGGATAGAGTGCTGGACCTGGAATTAGGAAGACTACTCTTTGTGAATTCAAATCCACCCTCAGACACTTAATAGTTGTGTGACCCTGGGCAAGTCACTTCATCCTGTCTGCCTCAGTTTCCTCATCTGTAAAATGAGGAGAAGGAAATGGCAAACCACTCTAGGATCTCTGCCAAGAAAACCCCAAACGGGGTCACCGAGACTTGAACACGATTGAAAAAGAAGTTGACATGAGCATTGAAAATGTCAGACCTATGAATTTTGGGGAGATCAATTTGACAGATGAGAAGTGTTGGACTGGAGTGGGGAGAAAATGGATGTAAGGAGACCAACCTGCAGGCTATTGCAGAAGTCTAGGCCTGAGGTGATGTGGCCCTGAACCAGGGGGTTGGCAGCATCAGAAGAGAGAAGGGAGAATTCAGAGGGATATTGTGAAGGTAGAAACAGCAGGACTTGATGACTGATTGGATCTGGGGGGTGGGAGAGTGAGGAGTTGAGGATGACTTCCTGGTTTGGAGCCTGCGTGACTTGGAGGTTGGTGGCACCCTTGTACTAGTACCAGGAAAGTTAGGTCAAAGCCAAGATGGTGGAGTGGCAGGAAACAGGACAGAGAGCTCCCTCAACAAAACGCCTTCAAACGGGTCTAGACAACGCACTAGACCAAACCTTGATGGGGAAATCAAACAAAAAAATCACAGTGACTCATTTTCCCAGGCCAGGTTGGCATAGGAAGAGAAATGAGTCTGTGGAAACTGAGGTCAGGGGTCTGGCCAGAAGCGTGCCAATCGGAGCATTCCAATGCAGGGAGCGGTTGTACACCAGGGAAGAGGAGGCCCTGGGGTAGTAGTATGTGTCATCTGACAGTTTTGTCACCTACTACCTAGTTCCAGGGTGGACTGAGGAAGGGACCGCCACCCAGCGGAGACATTCTAGGTAAGGAGCAGCCAGAGGTCCTATACTGAGTACTGAGGGAGGACAAAAATCAGAAGCAAGGAGCTGCTGTGTGGTGCAGCCCCTGGGAGCAGAGCGGGGTCTCAGTTCCAGCTTCTGGCACAGCCTGAAGCCTGAAAAGGAGTAACCAGGGCAGGAAACCCTCTTTGGTTATTCTGAACCAGTAGAGTTCCCCAGCTGGGAAGGCTTAGTCCAGCAGCATCTACTGTTGCTTCGATTCAAACTCAGTTCAGGAACTTTCAGAGGTCCAACTTCCCCAAGCATGGGGAACTGGGGTGGTGGTGGTGGGGGTACAGCAATCAGACCTTGCTCTGGATCAGACCACTTGGGGAACACTGGAAGTTTGCAGGCCTTCATCTTAAGCTGTCCTTGAGATCCTGGAACATTACAAAACTCAGTACCCCAAGAAAGCAGTAATGGGACCTTCCCTCCAGAAGTCACAGAGTCTGGCCCCAAAATCAAGTGAAAAAGGAAGCCGAAAGAATGAGCGAACAAAAAGTGGATCTGTACTATCATTATGGGGACAGGATGCTCAGGACAAAGGCAGAAGAGAATGACTCCAAGAAATCTGGAAGAAAAACACAGCTTGGACACAAATTCAACTCAAATTCCTGGAAGAGATAAAGCAAGAGTTTTAAAAAAGCAGCTTGATATGTTTGTTATAAATGAAATGAGAGCATGAGAGGAAAAAAAAATGGAGAAGAAACGAGAGCTATGGTATGGAACAAGGAATTGAAAAGGGAATTAAAAGTTTGGCATTAAGAGGCACAAAATCTGTCCTAGCAAACTCCCTGCAAATGTGAATGGACCAGATAGAAGCCAACGACTCCATGAGACAAGAAACATTAAAACAAAATCAAAAGACTGAAAAAAAAAGAATGTAAGGTATATTAGAGCAAAAACAACAGACCTGGAAAACAGGTTAAGAAGAAAAAAAATTAAGACTCATTGGATTGCTTGAGCATCATAACTGAAAGGGCCTAGGTATTTTATTTCAAGACATCTTAAAAGAAAAACTACCCAGATCTCTTAGAACCAGAGGATGAAGTGGAAATAGGAAGAATCCACTGGTCATCTCCTGAAAGAAACCTCAAAATGAAAACTTCCAAGAACATTTTGGCCAAAGACTAGAACTTCAAGGTTAAAAAAAAATACGGCAAGTAGCCAGAGAGAATTCTAGTACCAAGGAACCACAGTCAGGATCATACGTGACTTAGACACTGATAGGAAGGAGCTTGGAATATGATATTCTAAGGCAGAAGATATATGCTTATAGCCATGAGTGATTTACCCACAAAACAGGGTATAATATAACTGGGAAAAAAACAGACCTTTAGTGAAAAAGAGGAGTTCCAAGCATTTTTCATGAAAAGACCATAGATTTATAGAAACTTTGAAGTTCGAACACAGAAGCTGAGAAATGTAAAACAAAGTTAAATATGAATAAACAATCATAAGGGATAAACAAAGATAAACTTATATGCAAATATGGGGAGATGTTACATGTGTCCCTTCTGAACCCGATCATTATCAAGGGTCATAGAGGGAATCTAATTAGACAAAGGCCTGGGAGTGATTCTATCATATCTTAATAAGCTTAAGAGAAGAATGGGGAAATTATCTCTTAATTAGGGTACACAGACATCTATACAAACAAGGAGAAGATGGGGAGGCGAGCAGCTGACTTAATCCTCACTCCTCTAAACTGATCTAAAGAGGGAGAAATATAATTGGGAACAGAAATACATTTCACTCAACAGGGAAATAGGGAAAGGGAGAAGGGGGAATCAGAGGGAGGGTAAATTAAAAGAAGAATTAAT